GCCAACTCCTGTGCAGGTGGATGGGTCCAGTGAGTCCTAGGGAGTTGCTTGAAGCAAAGGTTAACTGACTATCAGGATTATATGACTTAGCTAGTGCCTGCCATCTGGGCGATTTCGTGACTCCAAGTCCACATGGATTTTATCAGTCCGATTTTAGAGATGAAAGTTAAGCAATGTGCCCTGGGTTACACAGCTGTGAGGGGAGAGCCAGCATTCCAACCCACGCCCCTCCTGCTTCTAAATCTGACAGTCTTTGCACTCTACCAAGCAGCCTCTTGGCAGCAAAGACCCTCACCCCCTAAAAATCATACTATGGATTAAAGGAAGCAGATAGGCACAGCTAAATGGCATCCAGGCCACCAGAAATAAAGCTGGGCCATCTGAGTATTCAAATCCTGCCTCACACTTACTTGGCATGTGACTCTGAGCAAGTCACTTAACCTTCTATCTACCTCAGTTTCCTCATTTATAAAATGAGAAAAGCCCCTACCTCTCAGGGTTGTTGTGAGATCTAATGGGATAAGATTTGTAAAATGCTTAGGTGCTTAGCACAGTGTCTAGGCACATAGTAATAAATACATAAATGTTAGATGTCATTATTGTTATCATCTTCATCACCATATCGCTTTCCTATTCAGTAAATGCCACTGGCCCCTTCTTACCTCCAGGACCAAATAAAGAATCCTCTGTTTGGTTTTCTTATTTTTTTAAATTTAAAAAATTTTTTTAAAAATTAATTTATTTTGATTTATCAATAATCTCTTCCGTATGCTTTTGAGTTTAAAATTTTTCTCCCCACCACCCTCCCCAAGATGGCGCATAATCTGATATAGGCTATACATTTACATTCATATTAAATATATTTTCACATTAGTGACGTTGTAAGTAGAAATTAAAACCAGTAGGAGGAACCATCAGAAAGAGGAACAAAACTCAACAGAAGAGAAAAAAAATAACAATTCAGCTTCCATAGTTTTCTTTGGGTGTGGATAACATTTTCCATCACAAGGCCTCTGGAGATGTCTTAGATCCTTGTATTGCCAGGAAGGGTTAAGTTTATCAATATTAGTCATCATACAACGTGGCTGTTATTGTGTCCAACGTTCTCTTGGTTCTGCTCACTTCACTGAGCATCAGTCCATACAAGTCTTTCCAGGCTTTTCTGAAGTCAGCCTGTTCATCATTTCTTATAACACAGTAGTATTCCACCACATTCATATACCACAACTTGTTCAGCCATTCCCCAATTGATAGGCATCCTCTCAATTTCCAATTCTTTGCCACCACAAAAAGAGCTGCTATGAATATTTTTGTACATGTAGGTCCTTTTCCCATTTGTGTGATCTCTTTGGGATACAGCCCTCAAAGTGTGTTTGGTTTTCTTTAAAGCCTTCGTCAGTCTTCTTACACCTTCGTACTCTGTATGCTCTGCTCTCCATTGACTCTTCAGATACTGTAATCCTTCTGTAAACTCCAAGCTTTTTCACTGATTGTGTTCCGTGTCTGCAGTGTTCTCCCTCCTCTTCTTTGCCACCTAGATTCCCTGGCCTCCTTCAAGTCCCACCTTCTGGAAAAAGCCTTTCCCAGTCCTCCTTAATCTTAAAGCCTTCCCTAATGAGATTACCCCCCAATTTATTCGGCATATATTTTGTTTGTCCATAGTTTTTTGCATGTTGTCTCGCCCATTAGACCGTGAGCTCCTTGAGGGCAGTGGCAGTTTTTGCCTTTCTTTGTATCCCTAGGGCTTAGCACAGTGCCTGGCACACAGTAGGCACTTAATAAATGCTGGAAGGCTGACTGTGATTAGGGCAGAGGGCAGCAAGATAATCACCTCCTGAATTTTGGACACTCGGCTTCCCTTAATGAGACCTAAATTATGTAAATGTCTTTGACTGCCATATTTCACTGTTAAGGATCCCCACCATGTTGGCCAGGATGATGAATTTTTTGGCCATGGCAGCTCTTCAAAGAGTATCTAGAGGAAGGTTGTGATTTGTCTTTGGGGAGTGAATGCCCACACTGACTAAATTATAGGCCCATGAGTTATTAAGAAGTCACACTGACTCCTATTGTCCTTACAATCTACTAAAGCCTTTGTGTTTTGCGTGTGTTGATTATACCACGGACTAAATAGGTTATAGCCACCTGGTCCTGGAAACCAGTGCTCAAGACAACACAAAAGAGCAGAATAAAGCCCATTCATCTGATTATCTCTGTGGCCTCAGACAGTTACTTAAAGTGGCTTGACCTTAGTTTATTTCTGTGAAGATGAGTGGGGTGACGCCTTCATGACCTCACCTGAAGGTATTCTGCTTGTTGAGGAGAACGCTCTGGGGATGTTAGCTCCCTTCAAATGTTTGAAAGACTGGCACTTGGAAGAGCAGTTTGACTTGTCCTGCTCGGCCTTGGAGAGCAGAATTAGGAGGAGGAGGAAGAGGTAAAGGCTACAATAAAGAGAATTGAGGCTTGAGGTAAAGAAAGTCTTGTAAACTTTTTGAGTGGAAATGAACTCCTGTGGCTGTGCATGCACTCCATCACTGGAGGTTTGAAGCTGAGGCTGGTGGCTCTGCTGAAGAGAGCCTTGTGCCAGTAGAGGTTGGACTCTATGGACTGTTAGGTCCCTTCCTCCTCTCAGATTCTGTGTGTTACAAGGGAGGAACACAGGAGCCAAACCAAGGTGGAAGAGGCTGAGGTCAGGACCCTGGACAGCTCAGCAGGCCCTCTCCTGGTGCCCCATGGATGGCAGTGTGCTGACCTTTGATTTGGGCTCTCTTTTCCTGTGGTAACTGTACTTCTGGCCCACCCTCATCCATCTTAGAACTCCCTGACATTTAAGGGCCTGGGCATTGTTATTATGGGCTCTGTTCCTCTTGGGGAGCTTCTGCTTTGTGGCCATGTCAGATGGCAGGGCCCCAGCTTCTGACCTGACTGGAAGGTTGGTGGGAGGTGCTTCCATGCTCTACAGGATTAGGCCCAAGGTGGATGCTATCCTGGGCTGTCGAGGATGGTCTTACCTTCTTCCTCTGAGTGCTTCTTCATTAGACAGGGGGTTTCAATGGAAGGAGCTCATGACATGGGTCAGAAGATCTGGTTGTCTCACCTCTGACCCTAGCTGTGTGACTTTAGGCAAGTTACTTCAGTGAGGTTCTCTGAGCCCAAGTTTCTTCATCTGAAAAAATGAGGATAATAGCAGCAGCTCCCGTTTATATGGCACTTTAAGGTTTACAAAACTCTTTAACCCACAACAGCCTTTGAGGTGGGTGCTGTCATTAACCCTGAGCACAGTGTTCAGTGACCTGTCCAAGGTCACACAGCTCATAAAAATCTGAACTGTGATTCAATCCTACATCTTCCCAGCTCCAAGTCAAGTACTTAATCCATTATGGTGTGCTGATAACACTTGTACTATAAAAGGCATTGTGATAAGGTACCCTTGAAACCTGGAAGTCTGCATTCAAATCCTCCATGTGCTACTTATTAGTTTTGTGACCCCTGGCAAGTCACCTAACCTGAGCCTCATTGTCTTCATCTGTAGAATGGGGATCATTTTAATCTCACCATTGACTCCACAGCTCTCTTTTGGGGAAATTGCTGTAGGAACCAGGTCTTAGGAGGGACTTTCTCTCTAGTTGAACTCAAGGACCAGGTCACACAGACATCTTTTATGTTCCCAGATGGGGCTTAGCACAAAACTGAGCGGGGCCTCGGTACCCAGGAAGGGCTTATCTGTGGCCCAAAGTTGGCCCTCCTAGTGTGGGGAGCTGAAGTGCTGGGGGTCTGCTAATCACATGGCCTCCAGATGTTTCCCCCACATCTGTCCTCAAGGCACTTAATGAATCTATGAGTTTGTCTTAGAGGACCTGGGAATAGAACCATAGGCCTATTGTTTGAGAAATAAAAAGGAAAAGGGGAGATATTGGGAAATGTTAAAGCAAAAGATAGAAACCAAAGTTTATTTTTAGAGAAGAACTAGAAGGGGCCTTAGAGACTGTCTAGTCCAGCCCCTAACTTTACAGATGAGGGTCACATAGAGGTCAGTGTTAGTGGCAGAGCTGTGTCTTCATAAATCCTGACCATATTAAGCTTCTCAGGAGTGCCAGTGTTCTCTGATCAAATGATACTTTGGGAGATTCCACTTAAAGTATAGACTAGTATATTTTAGAAACATTTTCATTAGAAATAATTTCATTAATTCCTTGGGATGAGAAGGAATGGTTGGCTTTTAACCGTCACTGTGGGAAGGAGTGTTCACCTTGATGATCCATTGACATTTTAAAGCAAAACCCACTAAAAGAATACTGATTTGTGTTCAGCCCTCATTTGTAAGGTCTTTTAGATTGTAAAGTCCTTGAGGGTAGGGACTGTTTTTGCCTCTCTTTTTTATCTCTAGTGCTTAGCACAGTGCCTGGTACCTAGTAGTAGGTACTTAACAAGTGTTTATTGATTATTTTTAAAATGAGAAGAGCTGGTGCTGTCCAGGATGAGCTCTGAACTCCAGAGAAACATGAGTTGCTGGGAGCAGCTGCCTGGTTTTGTTGATACATGATTCTGGTCCTCACCAGTAGAGGGAGGACGAGGTGGTATAGGCCAGGGTGGCTGGGTAGTCACAGGATTTAGAGGTGGAAGGAACCTTGGAGGTCAATTTAGTCTAACTCCCTCATTTTACAAATAAGGAAACTGAGGTTAAGTGACTTGTCCAAAGTGACACAAATGGGATTTGAACGGAAGTCCTTAGACAGATAGTTAACAGAGGTCTCATAGGCAGTGAGATCCATAGTGGGGAAGTAACTTACCCAAAGATACAGTGGTAGTAAGTAGACAGAATTTGAAACCAGGTCAGCTCCCTCTTAATTCTGTGCTCTTACCCCTACACTCCCTCAAACCTTAGGAATTTCACTTCTTAGTATCTAGGAAAAACTACAAGAGGTGTGGTAAGCTCTAAGCAACTCTTTTTCCATTCTCCTATATCTTATCAACTCTTTGTTTTCACATCATCACAGAACTCTACCTGGAGGGAAACGCCTTGTACAAGCTCCCTGATGAAGTTAGCTCCCTACATCTCCTCAAGATAATTAATCTGTCCCGGAATCAGTTCCGAGACTTCCCAGAGAAGCTCACTGCCCTGCCAGCCCTTGAGACCATCAACCTAGAAGAGAATTTGATTGTGGGTAAGTTATCCCCGAGACCACTCTGTGAGAGCAGAAGTCTCAGCATGGGAGTGATACCAGGGCTGTCCTTCAGGCCCTTGCCAGGTGGTGCTGCCTCCCTGATTGTGCCTGCCGACCCTGGAGGCAGAGAGTGTGCTTGGATCTGAACCTTCTGGCCTCCCTGTCCTCTGCCCCAGATGACCTGGCCCAGCCCTTTTGTCACTCTCTCCCCACTGGCCCAGGGATTGTGCAAAGCTGTGGGGCTTGTTTCATTCCTCATACATATATCCCCACTGCCTTGTCCAGAGCCTGGCACGTGGTGGGCACTAAATACGTGCTTGTTGATCAATTCTTTCTTGTTGCCTACTCCTTTGTTCTTTTCTGTCCATGCTTTTAATAACAGCATTTCTCAGGTCTATAGAGCTTTGAAATGGACCAAGTACATTCCCTGGAACAGCCCTGTGAGGTGAGGGATATAAAGATTAGCACTCCCATTTTAGGGATGGGGACACTGAGGATCAGGGAGGTAATCTCAGGGGGCCCCCTCAGTTGTCCTGAGGTGTTTTAAGGACTCTGACGTGGAGGAATCATTACCCTTGTCCTGCTTGTCCTCAGAGGGCAGACCTAGGAGCAGTGGCTGAAAGTCCTTAGAGGCAGATTTGGGTACAATACTAGGAACAACTTCCTAATCACTAAAGTGTCCCAAAGTACCATGGCCTGCCTTGGATGGCAGCGGCTGCTCTCTCCGCAGAGGTCTTCAGCAGACCAAGAGGGTGACTGGTCTAGGCCATCATGGCAGAGATTCTTTTGCGGCTGCTGTGGAGGTCCTTTCCAGCCTTCAGATTTTGTATTCTGTGGGCCTTCTCAAGGTCATGCAGGTAGGAAGGGTCAGAGCCAGTTTTCAAACCCAGGTCTGCATTCTTGCCAAGCGGCCTCTTTAGTTGTCTCAGCTCCCTCTTTAAATCAAACTAGAAATACCTCTTCCCATGCTCCCCCTCAATCCACCCCCACCAACAAGACCCCAGGGACCCTGGAGATGGGGAAAGCAGAGGGAGGGAGTTGGAAGACGATGAGGGGCGAGCCTCCTGGAGCAGAGTTGAGAATCCCCCAGGAATTTGGGCATGAACTATTGCTGTTATTATTGGTCTAGAACCAAAAGGACCCTCAGAGGCGCAGCTCGATGAGGATGCTGAGGCCCGGAGAGGGGAAGGGACTTGGCCCAGGTTACAGTAGGGGCAGATCTGGGATTGGAAGTAGGACCCCTAGACTCCAGCCCTCTTTCCACTGCACCACACAGCCTCCAAACAGCATCGTAAAGCCCTCTGCCAGCCTTGAAGCACTGCGTTTTCTTGTTGTTGTTACTGTTGCTCTGGGGATTAGGGGGATCGAGAAATAATTAAGGCCTTGTGCCTGCCTTCATGGAGCTTGTAACTGGCAACCATTACTAAGTTCGTTCTTAGAAAGACAAGCAAAATTAGGCTGCATGTGAGTGTTTATTTCTCTCAAAGCTTGCAGAACATGCGTGTGGAGATGTGCATGGGAGCTCATTGTGCAAGTGAGCCCAAGAATGGATACACAAAGTCACCCTTGTATCTTCGGAGCATTCCCTCTCACCCCTCCCTCCCTGGCTTAGGATGCCTGTGTCAGTCACAATTATAGTCCCCATATGTGTTAACCATGATATGAGAAAGGAATTTCTTAAGTGAATAGATTGTAAATACAATAAGATAGGAGAATGTCAAAGTGTCAATTGAAATTATGGATCCAGGATGTCTGTGTTTCTTCTACCATTAATATGACATAATATAAAATAAGAAAAGTCCCATTATTCAAGACAGTGTCTGGTTCAAGGCGCCTTGTCCTCGGTAGTCATAAACAGAAGAGCTGTCCTGGTCAGCCTCATCCGGCCTTGTAGTTAGTTGCTGACACAGGAAGGGGCATTTTGAGTTCACTCAGAGAGCAAAGCACAGCATGTCTGTTAGGCCAGAGCATGCAAAGCATTATGGTAGGTTAAGCTCAGAGTGGGCCCAAATGTCTCTCCTGATTGGCCAATCCAGGTTTTAGGCCTTTCTCAAGTGTAGGGGGTTCAAAATGGTTTGGAGAGGAGTTTACATAACCTAGGTAAGGGAGGTAGATGCTAAGAGGTAGAGCGCTCTAATACCAAACTGAATATAAGTATATAAGAGAATCTGGACTTGGTGGCCAGAAGGCATGAACCATTTCTGGAGAGACAGGAATCAGCCATAGTCTTGGACCATCCCCAGGCACTTCTGCCATTGTTCTGTCTAGCCTCTCTCCTACCACAGGACACTGAAATTTCTTTACTTGGTCCCCATGTCATATTGGTGGGTGGTAACAGAAGGGTCTGATAGAGAGGGTAAGTGCGTCCTCCTCGCTGATTCACCCTCTGATTCTAACAGGAGAAAAGTCTTTTCTAGTAAAGAGAGTCAGAGGAAGGGGACAGAAGCCCCTTCTAGTCCAACCTCCATGCAGCTGCCAACGTGATCTTGAAGCTGAGATCTGACCATGTCATCCCCAACCCCCCATAAATTCCAGACTTCCTATCACTTTTAGAACCAAATACAAAATTCTCTGTTTGGCATTCAAAGCTCTTCATAACCTGGTTGACCCTCCCACCTTCCCAGTCTTCTCACACCTTACATCCCACTTCCTTCTATAATCCAGTGACACTGGTGCCCCCTCCCCCCATTTTCCACGGCCAGCCCCAATGCCTGCAATGCTGTCCCTCTTCATTGCACCATCTGGCTTCCTTCCAGTCCTACCTTCTGTAGGTGTCATCCTTTTCTGATTTCCCTTCATTCTAATACTGTTGAGGTTTAGGGGTGCTGGGACCCTGAAATTCAAGGGCAAGTGATGCAGGTCCTTCCTAGAGTGAATTAGACCCAAGCCTTCTTTTAAAGGTAAAGTTTGTTAGAATACCGGGTGGGGTGGGCGAGATTGACTTTTAAGGAATCTGAGCCATTTAATGGGGGCAAGATAGACACTTATATACAGTAGTCAAGGAGTGGCCAATGGCTGGGAAGACTGGGAGGTGATAGAGAAGGACTGAGACAGGCTGAGTGCCCCAGGTGAACACCAGGGACCTGGGCCATGTGGGAAAGTCCAGGGGTGTTTTCTTTTTGGGGTCCAGGTCCAAAGATGTGGTCTTTTCCTTTTAGGGGTTCAGATCCCATCCCCATCAGTACCTTCTCTCCAGCTGATCCTGCATAGACCTTGTTTTCAGGTTGTGCCCCTATCAGTCTGTGAGGGCAGTACTGGTTTTTGCCTCTTTTTGTATCCCCAGTGTTTAGCACAGTGCCTGGCACATAGTAGGTGCTTCATAAATATTTATCCACTGACTGACAAGCTTTAGAATAAAATCCTAGAGTGATTGAACTGGAAGGGAGCTTAGAGATCATTTAGGTTGGAGTGTCCAACACAAGGCCCTTATAAGGGCTGCATGTGGTTCCAGCACTCCTGAGTGCAGCTGAACCAGATTAAATTGTAAATGAGAAACACTTAACAAAAAATAAAAATAAAAAATACAACAGAACCTAGATAATGTCACTGCTAGGTTTTTAAGTCACTGTGTTGCCTGAAGGGGCCTTCTTGTGAGGTTTGGTGCCCCCTCCAGTTGACCTTCCCATTGCTCCAGGCCAACCCCTTGGTTTACCAATGAGAACCAGAGGCTCAGGAAGGGAAAGTGATTTGCCCAGAGTGGAACAGTGCAAGACTGAGCTGGAACTAGAGCCCAGGGCTCCTGCATCCTCCATCCAGGGCTCCCGCATCCTCGTTTCCCCAGGCAGGCTCCAGAGAGAGTAGAATGTGGCGGGGGAGAAAAGCATACTATGCTTTCATTATTATATAATTTGTAACCACAACACACCCAGTTCTCTCTTTGTTCTCGTTAATCTCTTTGCTGATTAATGAGATGAGTCAACCTGGAGGCAGACACACTCAGTTATTTCAGCTAAAATAATAAGAGTCAACATTTGTTAGGACGTTTAAGGTTTACAAAGCACTTTCCCCCTGGCCAGAAACTAATCTAAGCGCTCCATTTTACCTATGAAGATGAGGCTGAGGGTGAAGGGTGGGAAGGATCCCAGAAGCCAGTAAGTGTCTCGAGATAGTGGAACCCACCTTTTCCATTCAACCACCTACCTCTCGTTGAATGCCGCAGAAAGAGCCCTGGGTCTGGCTGGAGAAGACAGGCACTGAATGCCAGCACTGCTGCTGACTACATGTATGACCTTGGGTGAGTCTCTTCCTCAGCCTGTTAAGGGAGGGAGTTGACTTTGATGGCTGCAGAGGTCCTTTCAGATTTCAAATTGATGACCCTGTGATCTTGGTGGGTGCTGCTCTTTGCCTTTACTTTTGATATCTGCTGTCTTATATGGCACATTACCCTTATCTGTCTGCTGTTTTTCCTGCTTACTGATGAGCTGCCCATGCCTTTCTTTGTATCCTTTGATCTCAAAGAGGACCGTGACATCAGGAAGGTGATGCCATGGCTTGCAAGTGAGTTGGATTTAAGTGAGGGAGGGCTGTGCAGAGTCGCCAGCCTCACTTTCTCCTCCAAAGCCATCTGGGTCCAGTGGCCAGATATGGATCAGGGTGCCTGGAGATGGCCCCTGTATCCCAAGCTCTTTTCCCATGGTCTGGCACACAGTAGGTGCTTGTTGAAGATGGTGATGAGCTCCTCAAGGGTATGGATGGTGTCTTGGTATACCTGATAGATTCCTAGCATCTGGCAGGGATGTGGTAGGAACTCCCTGAATAGGGATTGATTGTTCACTGTGGCTCAGCGTGCTCGCTGACCAACCCTGGAGCAAGTCTTCTGAGTCTGGCACACACACATGAGGGAGCATCTCGTCAGTGACAGGCTATGGGGTAAGGTCAGAAGAGCAATGGATTTGGATTCAGTGGTCCTGGGTTCCAACCCTGACCCTGCTGCTTATTATATCTTCAGCAAGTCACCTCCAATTTCTGGACTCATGGGTCTGACGAATGAGGGGTTTGGA